GACATCAGTACTGAGACTGGAGAAAGCTTAACTCTATTTGGGACCAACTCAAGAGAAGGAAGTGGAAATACAAGCCATATTGAAGACATAATCCTAAATGGGTAGTATATGTCAAAGGAGGTGAATACCATCTATCAAAGACGTGATAGTCTAACAATGGTAAACCCAAAAGGACCTAAGAGTGAATATCATCTATCAAAGATGTGATAGTCTAACACCGGTAGACACAAAAAATGGAATGAATACCATCTATCAAAGATCTAATAGTCTAATAATGTGTAAACAAACAAAGGGTGTGAGAGTAAATACCATCTATCAAAGATGTGATAGTCTAACAATGGTAAACCCAAAAGGACATAAAAGTGAATACCATCTATCAAACATGTGATAGTCTAACAGTGGTAAACACAAAAAGGTGGATAAAATACCAACTATAAAAGGTCCAATAGTCTAACAATGGTAAACATCCAAATGATATAAAAGTGGGTACCATCTATCAAATATGTGATAGTCTAACAATGGTAAACAACAAAAAGATATAAGGATATCGAAGGTCTGATAGTCTAACAATGACAAACAACCAAGGGATATAAAAGTGAGTACCATCTATCAAAGATGTTATAGTCTAACAATGGTAAACACAAAAAGGTGGATCGAATACCAACTATCAAAGGTCCAATAGTCTAACAATGGTAAACAACCAAATGATATAAAAGTAGGTACCATCTATCAAAGATGTGATAGTCTAACAATGGTAAACAACAAAAGGATATAAGGATATCGAATGTCTGATAGTCTAACAATGATAAACAACCAAAGGATATAAAAGTGAGTACCATCTATCAAAGATGTTATAGTCTAATAATGGTAAACACCAAAAAGGTTATGGATAAACCAATCTGGAAAGAAAGATAACAATTGCTAATAAGGACCAAAGCTCTATCTAGGAACAAACTATAAAGAAACAGTCAAATAAGACTCTACTCAATGAGGAACGAGCTGAAATAGGGATTAATTCCATCTAGGTAATGAGCTGGGTAGGAAGGCTGAAGCAAAATTCTTCCACGAGGGATAACTCAGTGGGGAAATTGAAAGGATATACACTTTATACTTAAGGTTGAAATTCTATTGGAGAGAGGATACACACTCTACAAAGAGGATAAAATATCAACATAAACATGAATGAATGCAAAAAAGCAATAAATTTTCATTCAGCTATGCATGATGTATGAGTAATGTATGAATATTATAATGATACGCATGCTGATAATACAAACATACTACACTGGAGATAACCAGACAAAATAAACTTGAGTATAAATGACACTCGGCTAAATCACATCCAAGATGGAAATCCCATAAGAGAGTAAGCAAACAACTGAGGAAACAATGTCCTACTTTGAGGCTTAGCTTCTCTGGAAAAAGAAATGTTGTTTGAGAGTAAACAAAGCACAACTCCTATAAAAAAATTCCACAAAGCTGCAAAGATATAACAACACCCTCTAAGCTTCATTGAGAGATAACACACAAGCTTCACTAGGGAAGATGATATCACATCTGATGGGAAGAAAAAACACAAGGTTCTACAATACTAAGAATAATGATTGCACAAACTCTGCTGGAGACGATCAAACAAAACTTCATGGGGATAACAACCTTAAAAGGGAACATCACCCTTGGTTTACATGAAAAACTAAGAAGTTAACACCATATTAAGAAGTCAAATTTGTGGGGATTTTAAATCAAACTCAACACACAGTGAAAGAAAATCCAAAATTTGTTATAGTTGCCTCAACACTTAGAAAAGATACTACTTTTAACCTACTACTTGGGAAGCACACAGAAGCAACAAAGTCATGATAGTCAAGGTAAAATACTCATCTCGAGGTTCTTTATCAAGTCTTAATCACAAGAAATGAAAGAATCCAACAATTGAACATGAGTCTCACAATATTACAATCCCTGCTTGATCATAAATTAACTAGGGAAAAGAATCACACTCAGCGGGAGAAATCTGAACCAAGACTTAACTGGGGAATATGAGATCACAAACCCACTAACTGATTAACAACTGTGGGGTAAACCATATGCATAAGCTGCGAGAGTAACCAGAGGAGGCTCCTTGAATGAAAAGGAGAAAATTTCATGCTTTTGAAAATCTCCCATCCTTGGAACAACTGCTTTTATTCATTTGATTCACAAAATCAAAGTATAAATATTTCGCAAATTTTTCAAAAAAACACGTTTTATTATTTAAGTCTTTTTGTTTTAAATTTTACTATCAATAATAAATGAAATTTTTGCAAGCAGGATAAAATAAAAGTTGCAAAGAATTGGATAAAAGCTCAAACTTTATTAATAAAATGGTAGTCTGCAAATGGCGTGACTCCTTAGATGATTACAAAATTTAGAAAATGGTACATACAATGGAAAAGGTACATTAAAATATAATGAACATTATTCTCCCTACCAACTCTGAACTCCCGTGCTTAAGCTTTAGTCGAAGAACGATGAGAATCCAAGGAAGATTGTTGCTTCAACGATCAATTCTTGTCTAATGCAGTTATTTGCCAAGAATCTCTAACTTTTGCCTAGACTGCCCTTGCGGGTTTTCAATCTACCGAAATAATTTATTTTGTTTATATCTCTAAATTTTGCCTGGACTGTTCTTTCGGGTTTTTAGCCCACCGAGACACTCATTTTTGCATAGGTTGCCCTTTCAGGTTTTCAACTTAGCGAGTTGTTCTTTTTATTTCTTTAGGCGAAGTATTTCTTGAGTGCATCAACATTCACATAATGTGGTAACTCCTCATCATCCATTGTTTCAAGAATTAATGCATCGATAGAGAAGGCTTTCTTGACAACATATGGATCTTTATAATTGGGAGTCCACTTGCCCCTAGAATCAGTGTTAAAAGACACGATCTTTCTGAGAACGAGGTCGCCTTCTCTGAATTCACGAGGTCTGACTTTCTTATCAAAAGCTTTCTTCATTATTTTCTGATATAACTGACCATGACACAAGACAATAATTCTATTTTCCTCAATCAAATTCAACTAGTCAAATATGTTCTGGACCCATTCAACCTCTGTCAATTTAGTTTCCATGATTACATGCAAGGAGGGAATCTCAAACTCGACGGGGAGCACTACTTCCATGCCATAAACAAGAGAGAAATGGGTTGCCCCTATTGAAGTGCAGACAAATGTACGATACCTACGCAAAGCAAAATGGAGTATCTCATGACAGTCCTTATATGTAACAACCATCTTTTGAACGATCTTGTTAGTATTTTTATTAGCTGTTTCAACAACCCCATTCATCTTAGGCATGTAAGGGAAATAATTATGATGAGCAATCTTGAAATCTTCACAAAGCTCTTTCATCATCTTATTATTCAAATTCGATATATTATCAGTGATAATCTTGCTTAACACACCATATCGACATATAATTTGATTCTTGATAAACCGGACCACAACCTGTTTGGTTACATTAGCATAAGAAGCTGCTTTAACCCACTTGGTGAAGTAATCAATTGCCACCAAAATGAAACGATGCCCATTTGAAGTTTTGGATTCAATCATCCCGATCATATCAATATCCTACATAGAGAAATGTCATGGGGAAGAAATAACATTGAGAAGTGTCAGAGGCACGTGAATTTTGTCAGCATGAATCTGACACTTGTGACACTTTGCAAATTTTTAGCAGTCATATTACATTGTCAGTCAATAGTAACCTGCTCTTAGCATCTTATTTATCATTGAATGTCCATTAGCATGAGTACCAAATGAACCTTTATAATAATCATCACGCTCACAAGATCGATCGGGAATTTTTTTTGCTTTTTTTTCTTCCAATGTAACAAAAAAAAATTAACCACAAAAACACTATATTACATATCCATCGTTTTCAAATTAATATTTTTAGAGTTAAATATGTTTTTGATCCTTATAACTCAATTTTGACTTTTAATCTCTATAAATAAATCGAATTTTAGTCCTTATAAAATTACTTTTACACGTAATAGTACTGTAGAGAGACTAAAAATGCGTGCAAAAGTAATTTTAAAGAGACTAAAACTCGATTTTTTTATAAAGACTAAAAACCATTTTTAATAATTTTATCGAGATTAAATATATTTAACCCATATTCTTATACTAAAAAATCACAAACTTTGTATAAAAACAATTTTTTTGACATAATAAGAATTTGTTCATGAGAAATAAATAATTTTTTAATCCATAAATAAAATAATTTTAATTTAGAAACTCAATGATTTGAATTTGAGTAATGTTGTGAATCTTTTATAAGTTGAATTAAAATTTACAAATAAAAAATAATTAAAAAAGAAAATATAACGTTATTTAATAAAAAACATTAATAAAAAATTAAAATAATCACCTGAAAATTAAATTGTATAAAGTATTAAACATTTATTGCAACTAGATTTTAAATTTTTATTATCATAATTATTTTTTGGTAAGTGAAGAAATAAATTAAAGTTGTTTAAATACCAAATATAACATTAAATTTGATTTTAAAAAAAAGCCGTTACTTTAGAATTTGAAATGAAGACTGAATGGCATATACGTAATTTGACCTAAAATATAAGACATTTTCCAAGAAGCTGAATGAAACGGGACCCACCTGATGACTTGGCTTGACGGAATTTATCATTATTCTGCTACTCCATTCAAGCTGCATGTGCTTTTCCGTTTCTGCAACAGTAAACAGTTACAACACTCACTCTCTCTATTCGTGCCTTCTTTCATAACATTCTCATTCTCTCTCATTTCTAGGGTTTTTTCTTTTCTCTCTAACTCGTAAGCTCTCTCTTCTTCTTACCGATTTTTCGCATTTTCTGTTTAGTTTTGTGAAATGCGTTGTTATTGTTGTGATTGTGATTCTGAAATGCGTTGTTATTGTTGTGATTGTGATTCTGAAATGGTGTTTTTGTTGAATGTGAAGGAGGTTAGATCGGTGAGAGAAGAGAATGTCGTCCAGACCGGGACCGTCGGAGTCTCATGGTCCGGTGATGCAGAGGCGGATTACGCGGACGCAAACAGCTGGAAACCTTGGAGAAGCTATATTTGATAGTGAGGTTGTACCTTCTTCTCTTGTTGAAATTGCTCCTATTCTTCGTGTTGCTAATGAGGTTGAGAAGACTCATCCTAGAGTTGCTTATCTCTGTAAGTTGATTTCTGTTTAGCTGCGTTGAATTTTTCTGAAGCAAATTTATCTGTTTACATGCTGCTCATTCTGATTTATTGTAGGCCGCTTTTACGCGTTTGAGAAAGCTCATAGGTTGGACCCGACTTCAAGTGGTCGTGGTGTTCGGCAATTTAAAACGGCTCTTCTTCAACGATTAGAAAGAGTAAGCACTGCCATGTTTTCCTTGGATAAGATATAACTCTTGTCATTCTTTTCCCAAATAATGTGACTTGGTTTTGCTTCTTTACTCCAAAATGATTAATTATAGGAGGAAAGCTTTCATAATATCATTTATGTTTTTTTTAAAGATTTTTTATATTTCAATAGTTTCCATTGACAATGTTAAGGAATGCTCTATTCAGAGAATTTTATAAACCAACCTTTTTCAGCTATCATCATGCTATGCATAATGAATGTGAAAGATTTCCTGTAGTATGATTTAGAGTTGCTAATGCCTAAGTATTAATTTATAACATTTTGTTTAAGTTCTGAAGATCTTTTATCATTTTATTCTATTTTTCTTAGGAAAATGATCCAACATTGCAAGGAAGGATAAAGAAAAGTGATGCCCGTGAGATGCAGAGTTTCTATCAGCATTACTACAAAAAATATATCCAAGCTTTACAAAATGCTGCTGATAAAGCTGATCGGTATGGTGTTTATGCATTGTGCAATGTGATTTGTTATGTGCCTTTTTCTGTGATGTGACTAGCAGTGAGTTTCTATTCTTACTTTCAGAGCACAACTAACCAAGGCATATCAGACTGCTAATGTTCTTTTTGAAGTTTTGAAAGCTGTTAATATGACACAATCTATGGAAGTTGACCGTGAGGTAATTTTCCCCCTTGTTTCTAAGTATTGTTTAATCTTTTTATGCAAACATTCCTCCGTAGATAGTTCGCTATTATTGGATTTTTTTACTCTTAATAAATTTAATTTTCACCTGCCTTTGTATTCATGAGTCATGATTGATTTTCCATTGGCATTGCAACAGATTTTGGAGACTCAAGATAAAGTTGCTGAAAAAACAGAGATCTTAGTTCCTTTCAATATTCTTCCTCTTGATCCTGATAGTGCAAATCAGGCGATAATGAGATTTCCGGAGGTAGGACCTGGTTTCATATATGTACATAATTATGATCCCCATATGCTTTTGTTTAACTCTTAGTGAAAGTTATCCACCGCTCTTTTCAGATCCAAGCTGCTGTATTTGCTCTTCGTAACACGAGGGGTCTTGCTTGGCCAAAGGACTACAAGAAAAGAAAAGATGAAGACATTCTGGATTGGCTTGGGGCAATGTATGGGTTTCAGGTAAATTACAATCTGTTGTTTTCCCACATCATGAGTTATGTGTTACTAACAAATTCGGTTGGACTTTTTGCCACCTCTTATACAAAATACAGAAGCACAATGTGGCAAATCAGAGAGAGCATTTGATCTTATTGCTTGCAAATGTACACATAAGACAATTCCCTAAGCCTGATCAACAACCAAAGGTGAGGTTTAATTTGATAGTTTAAACAGTTTTCCCTCTCTATTTTCAATTTTAAATTCTGTAAACAACATTTTGTCCACCCTTTTAATATAGAAGGTGCCTTGTTTCTATTCTTTTGGTTGTCATGTAGCATCTAAATCTTTAAATGTGCGTGTGTTTCTTTTGTTTGATAAATGTCATGCTCAATATAGTCATAGATATGAATGCCTCTTCAAACTTTCTATAACAACTGCACTCTCTTACTGATTTTGAGGGAAGATATTTAACACTTGATGTTTCCATTTCTAGTGTTAATAGTTTTTGTTAATATGGTTGTGACTTTTGCATGTTATTTGCCTAGTTGGATGATCGTGCACTAACAGAAGTGATGAAGAAGCTTTTCAAAAATTACAAAAAGTGGTGCAAGTATTTGGGTCGAAAGAGTAGCCTTTGGTGAGAATTATGTTCTCATAACGTGGAAAGATATCTATAATGCTGTTTTGCCACATATGAGGAGTTGAGAACAAAAGAGATTTTAAATTTGTTTTTCTATTCTCATTATACATTTTATGCTCTAATGTTAAATAGTCATTTGTACTCTTAAGTTTTAGTTGTAATTTTCCATTTTGAAGTTGATTTCTTATTACAATCTTGTTTCTTTTTGTCTAGCTTTCCCAAAAACTATATGTGTATGTCAGTTTCTCATGCAACATATCTCATCAATATACATTGCAGGTTGCCAACCATACAACAAGAAGTGCAGCAACGCAAATTACTATACATGGGTCTTTATCTTCTAATTTGGGGTGAAGCGGCCAATCTAAGATTCTTGCCAGAATGCCTTTGCTATATCTATCACCATGTAAGCTTTGTAATTTAAATGAAGGATGACAATTGGACTTTTAGATCATATGGGTACCCATGCTAAAGTACTATTCTCAAGGGTAGGGTACCCATCCTAAAGTACTATTCTCAAGGGTGGGGTTTTAACTTTTTTTATACAAGGGCTTAAACTTGTTTAATGAGTTTGATTTCATATTAATTACCAACAACAACAACAACCAAGGTTTATTCCACAGGATGACAATTGGACTTTTAGATCATATGGGTACCCATGCTAAAGTACTATTCTCAAGGGTAGGGTACCCATCCTAAAGTACTATTCTCAAGGGTAGGGTTTTAACTTTTTTTATACAAGGGCTTAAACTTGTTTAATGAGTTTGATTTCATATTTCATATTAATTACCAACAACAACAACAACCAAGGTTTATTCCACTGGGGTCAGATACATGGATCAAATTATGTCATATTGTTCTATCAAATAACATGTTTTCATCCAACTCGTAAATCTCCAGATCGTTCTTAATAGTTCCTCTTATATGTTTTCTAGATCTATCTCTAACTCTGGTTGTTTGAATACTCTTTATTTGATCTACTCTCCTTAGAACAAAATTCACAAGTGTTCTCTCTATATATCCAAACCACCTAAGTCTATTTTCCACCATCTCTTCTACTATAAGTGCTACCCCAACACCCTCTCGGATATTGTCATTTCTAATCTTCTCTTATCTAGTCTTACCACCCATGATCCTTCCAACACAACTTCCTCATCTCTTTTACACTTGGTTTATTTTCGTATTGGTGCTTTACCTCCCAACATTCATTCGCGTACAACATCTTTGGTCTTACACTTGCCCGATAAAATTTGTCCTTCAGTTTGAGCGGTACTTTTGTGTCACATAAAATACCTGAAGCTTTCCTCCATTTCAACCATCTAACATGAATTCAATGGTTTACGTCTCCTTCTATTTCTCTGTCGTTTTGTATTATGAACCCAAGATATTAAAACTGGGTAACTTGTGGTAAAGATATGATCTCCAACTTTCACCTTTAGGTTATAAATACTTCTTCTTTTGTTAAACTTACATTCTATATATTCCGTCTTACTTTTGCTTAGGCGAAAGTCACACGTTTCTAAGGTTTTAGGTGTTACATACAAGTGAGATTATACAACAACAACCAATCCTTATCCCACCGAGTGGGGTCGGCCCAAGTAGGACAATATCATCTTCAAAAAAACATACATCTTGGTACTAAAGTAAAAAGTAAGAGCTTAGGGTTAAACCTTGATGCAATCCTATTGTTAGGGTTGGACCTTGTCCGCACACTAGTCGATACCACCTCATACATATTTTTGATAGCTCGAATATAGACAATCCTAACCTCTTTTTTCTCTAAGATGGCTTTCCACAAAATCTCTCTGGACACTCTATCATACGCCTTCTGCAAGTCAATGAAAATTAGGTGCAAGTCTCCACAAAATCTCTCTGGACACTCTATCATACGCCTTCTGCAAGTCAATGAAAATTAGGTGCAAGTCTCCACAAAATCTCTCTGGACACTCTATCATACGCCTTCTGCAATCAATGAAAATTAGGTGCAAGTCTTGTACATATTAATTAAGATTTGAAATAGTTTAAGATATTTAATATTTTGGATGTTGCACTAATCAAAGTTTTGTCCACTTTCTACAATTAGTTTTAATAGTAAAATGCCATTTTTTATTAATTTATAGAAAAATACATCAGAGGAAACATCTATGGCTAACGGGCTGGTTTTAGATTTATAGACATTAATCAGGTATACGAATAAATGCTTGTATCTATGTTGGTATGGGCGCATGCATTATTCTCTTGTACTTGCCATTTTCATCCCTAATACAATGTATAGTTTCTATTCCATGACTGTATTTTATGATTTTAAAGACGTGCAGGTATGTAGTGTGATGGTCAATAGTAATTTTTTATGTTTCACCTTGTTGTAATTTTAATATTGTTAGATGCATTTATGACAACACGTATAAAAGGTGGAGCTTCCATTGGATATGCTAACCCATTATCTAACAATTTTTTTTCCTTTCCATTTAACCCTTGGTGTCACTTCATTATCTTTGTTTCTGAATTCTCAAACCCTTTAATTTCAAATATTTTGATAGCACTACCCTAAGTTGGAATTTCCTCACATGATTTTTACCGAGCGGCGCAACAAGTTCCATATCCTGCTTGATGTAAATAAACTGTCTTAAAGCTTGTCTGTTTTGGTTTTGCTGTCATTTTGTTTCCTAGTGATGTTATCATACGCTATAAATTAAGACTCAACTTTCCCAAAAGCTTAAGTTGTTAGGTAGTGATCAACTCTCCTGTATGCAAGAGCTTGTTGTTTGTGACTCCTGGACAATGCACGGGTCTCGTTCGATCTTAAAGAATTTAGCAGCACTCATTGAGTTTCTTGTCAATCCTTATCAGTTGGTCATAGATGCCCAAGAATAATTGTATATCTCTAATATTTAAGTGTGTTTGTCCTTATGGTTGTTGGAATTGAACGATTTCTTTGAAGGTAGCATACTCATTTGTTGAACTTGACTGAATATTGACACGCTTTGTGATCTTTCTCGTGATGTTTCTTGTAGATGGCTTTTGAATTGTATGGTATGCTTGCTGGTAATGTTAGTCCAATGACGGGAGAGAATATCAAGCCAGCCTATGGAGGTGAAGAGGAGGCTTTCTTAAGTAAAGTTGTAACTCCCATATATAATGTGATTGCAAAGGTACTTCCTGCGGTCTCTGATTATATTCTTGTTGAAAATATAGTTTTATATTGTGTAAACATTTGTCTAGATTGTATTGAACGTTAATTAAGCCCATTAAGTATAGCCTAGTCTTTTTAAACAGTTTAGTGATTGTACTCAAATTACTTTTGGAATAATATTTAGAAAATTGTTCCCCAATTCTACACTTTTTATCCTACTATGTTTGTGAGCACACAACTAAACCATGTTTTATTCATGATATTGGTAATGTCTCGTAAAAAGGTATTGATTGATTTGTTCAATAGGAAGCTGAAAGGACCAAAAGAGGGAGGTCAAAGCATTCACAGTGGAGGAATTATGATGATATAAATGAATATTTCTGGTATGAATTAGCTTATTCTTCCTTTATTGTTTTGTCTTGAATAAAACATGCTTGGGTGTTAACTTTCAATAAAAAATTTAGGTCAGCGGATTGTTTTCGGCTTGGTTGGCCAATGCGCGCTGATGCTGATTTCTTTTGCCTTCCAGTTGAACAACCATACTTTGATAAGTTGAAGGTAGGCATTGATTATGATCTCATAGTGGGAAGTATGGTTTACTTCTACTTCTATTTATTGATTATTTGATAGCTGTTATACTCTCATATTGAAATCTGCTATTTAATTATTACTTTTAATACATTGGTGATATACTATTTGCATAGAAGAGTTGTACATATCTTAAATTTTTTGCAACTTGCAAGTGGATGAAACTTGGAATTGTCATTTTGCTTTTATGGTACTTTTGGTTAGGAGTTAGGTTTTCTTGGAATCTTCTTTTTGTGGAAACCTATTGATGTGGCTAATGTGGTAATGCTTTTTAAAGAAACTGTCTTTTTGGTTTTCCAAATATTAGTATTTTCTCAATTTTGGTCCGCAAATTTCAAGTTTTTATTCTTTTAATTGAATAAGTTATATGATGGAATTTTCATAGCATCGAATAAGTGGAAATTAGTTTCAAGTGGCATTCCTAATTAGTAGTTATTTTCATGTAGCATTGGAACCTTGACTTACATTATGTGTTTAGGTGAAGAGTTTGAGAGGGAAAAAGTTTCATTTCAAATAAAACATCCTCTAATTTAATAACTTTTTATAACGAAATATATTAAATGATGGACTATCATGAAAATTAATGTCATATTTGTTCATTTTTACCTCTTGATTTTAAAATAAAAAATTTACCTTCCCTTCTCTTTCTCTCCAATTCCAAACAAAACCCAAAGTATTCTTTGAAATTTTATGTCTCACAAAAAGTATCTTGATTTATGTGTATATATTATTTCTACTGCGTATGTGTCACAAAAAGCGTGCAATTTTATGTCTTTAGTTAGTACAACATATCTTAATGTATAGTATCTGGAAGGCAATTGTGTCTATTGGTAAGAAATATCAAAGATGTATATGAGAAGTATCAAAGATGTATCTAAGAAATATCAGCGAAATTATTTTCCAAAAGATAAAAAAAATTGGCCTTCTCCATTTTGAAGCATGTGGGCTTCATAGGCAGTTAAGATATCTATTTTTCTTTTAAAAAAGTTTTATGAATTAGCTCTAGCCCTATATTATAGGATAAAAATAAGAAGATTCTTCTATGCTTGATTATGATTATGATGCTGGTTTAAATTGTTAAATGGGCACTATTAAAATTATCAAGCAAACAAATAAATTTGAACAATATATTATGGAAAGCTTGAAACTTGTATGTGACACTAGATTTTAAGCCTTGATAGAAGCTTGAACTTGCAGGGTAACAAGCCAGATAATAGGGACCGATGGGTCGGAAAGGGCAACTTCGTTGAGATAAGGTCCTTTTGGCATATTTTCAGAAGTTTTGATCGCATGTGGAGTTTTTTCATTCTAAGCTTACAGGTAACAAGTGCTTTATATCCTATTTTGGCAAAATAAATATTCTCCCTCCCATTAAGTTTTTTTGTTTAAGATCCATTTCTGAAAGAGCCCATTTGTCATTAGGCTATGATTATTGTTGCTTGGAATGGAAATGGGGATCTAAGTGCAATATTTGATGGTAATGTTTTCAAGAAGGCACTTAGCGTGTTTATAACAGCAGCTATATTAAAGCTTGGGCAAGGTAGGTGACTGCCGATTTTGCTACAACATATATATTGCTGCTAGATGTTGTTCAATAGCCAATTTTATCCGTTTTGTATTTAGTAAATTGTGTTGCTATATAGAATTACAGCTCTATTACTAAGATGATAGAGCCTTTTATTATTGAGATTTTAATGTTTGGTTAACAAGAGATAGTAATAGCTACTGAAACTTTGTTAAGGGAAATTTTGTTGTTTTAAGTTGGCCTATCTTACAAACGCTTTAAAAAATTTGATGGTCGTATAAAGATCAGATTGTTTATAGTTACCGTTTCTTATTATATGTTAATGTGGGCAGCTATTCTTGATGTGATCCTCAGTTGGAAAGCTCAACGGAGCATGTTGATGTATGTTAAGTTAAGATACATTCTAAAGGTTGTTTCATCTGCAGCATGGGTGATTGTTTTATCGGTCACTTATGCTTATACTTGGGACAATCCTCCTAGCTTTGCTCAAACCATCCAAAGTTGGTTTGGAAGCAAAAAACATTCACCTTCAGTGTTTATTATGGCTGTTATTGTATACTTGTCACCAAATATGCTAGCTGCCATATTGTTTCTGTTCCCACTCATTCGGCGTTTTCTTGAGAGATCAAATTATAGGATTGTCATGCTAATGATGTGGTGGTCGCAGGTAGGTGATATGACAACTTTGTTTTCTGTATATAATTTGGTTTGGTTCGTCAAACCGCAGTTGTTTTGTGCAAAACTGAGATATATAGGCTCTAACTTGGTGGTTTTGTTGCCTTGTAATTGACAGCCCCGTCTCTATGTTGGTAGGGGGATGCATGAGAGCACATTTTCCCTTTTCAAGTAAGTTTACAAAGTTTTTGTTTGCTGAGGATCATGTAACTTTCCTTGAATTCTGATTTTAACATGTCGTCGGCGTATAATCTCAGGTACACGGTGTTTTGGTTTCTCTTGATAATTACAAAGTTAGCATTCAGTTACTATATAGAGGTAATTCCTTTTCGTTCCTTCCAAAATTTTCCATATTTCTACAAATGAATATGTTGTTGGTTTGAATATGGGTAATTTGTCTGGGGGATGTGGAATCAACAATTAAAATTCCCTTTTTTTTTTCCTTCGTTTTATAAAAATCAGATTAAGTGAGTGGAAACGAATATGGTGAAAACTTTGTTTTAAAGGTTTTAAGCTATTGGAAGAAGATTGTTGTAATACACACACACCAATGGTTTGAAATGAAGATATGAACAATGTAATGAGTAAAAGTCAAACCTTCAAACAAGGTGTTTGATGCACTTAACAATTAATCAGTTTTGAAATCCAATTCTAATTTCAATTCTTTACAAAATAATCAATTCTTTACAGAATAATCAATAACGTAATTATTTAGAAATTCAATTTCAGGTTAAAACCTAATCTAGAAATTCAAATCCTAATTTTATACTATGAATGCAATATACCTATGAAGCATGCAATTCTAGATTAAAAGATAAATCTAACAGCTAACACAAGCATGCAAGAAATCTAAATGAGAGAGAGAGAGAAGGAGAGAGTGCACAAGGATTTATACTGGTTCGGTGCTATCGTCCTTGCAGGCACCTGTCTCATGTCACACAAACTATATCACTGAAACACAATACTGTGTGTCAAACGATTAATTAATTGACTTTTTTAACGGGCTGTATATTTTATTTTTATAGATAAAACCTCTTGTGGAACCTTCCAAGGCTATAATGCATGTAAGAATCTCGCATTTCCAGTGGCATGAATTCTTTCCGCGAGGTAGATGGCTTGAACACTTGGGTTTTTCATATTATTTCATTTTTCCACAAATGAATTCATAAATTGTGTGTTTTGCAGCTCGAAAAAATATTGGTGTTGTAATTGCACTTTGGGCTCCAATTATTTTGGTATGTCTTTAATACGTATCTAAATCGATTACGTGGTCAGTAAATACCACATTACTTACTGATCTCTCTCTTTTCCTTTTTTTAAGGTTTACTTCATGGATACCCAGATTTGGTATGCCATATTCTCAACTTTATTTGGTGGTATTTATGGGGCATTTCGTCGCCTTGGTGAGGTTAGAAGATTTGCCTACTCCTATAATCTTTTAGTCCTTGAGTTTCATAATGTGGCTACTTTTACCTGATTTTTCTTGAGTTAAGTCACTGTTTTGAAAAGTATGTTTTATTTTGCTATGGCTGTAGAAGATTTGCATTGGTTTATGCGATTTTATACTAATGTGCCTCAAGTTTGGTTTTTTGTTATAGTTGTTCTAGAAGGTATCTTGTGCATTGCATGATTTTTCAAAGTCATAAAAAACATTAGAATAGAAGATGTTATAAGTTGAAATTGAGGATATGCATGATAAGATTTGAAGTTTAAAACATGAGATATTGAAATAATTGTCATTCGTAAAAACAAGATATGAAACTGAGCCACTCTTCAGTACGTACTTCAGTTTAATATATACATGTGGATTAGGGGGGTTGAGTGTCAAGGATTTCAACTTTGTAAATTGATTATTTATCAAACAAAAATGTTTGTTTATGTGATTTTTCGATCATATCTCTCTGCTCAGCTCGTGTCAAACCTATTTTGTTGTTTACTCTTGGTTTCAGATAAGGACACTCGGAATGCTTAGGTCTCGGTTTGAATCATTGCCTGGTGCTTTTAATGCCTGTTTGATCCCAGAGGAAAAGAGCGAGCTAAGAAAGAAAGGATTAAAAGCAACTTTCTCTCGGAGATTTGACCAGGTTGATAATTTTAAATTATTTTACCATTACTTTCTTGGATGTGTGGTTAAAATTTAAAACATCTATATTTCAAAATTTCCTTTTCCTTATTGGTACAGATCCCATCTAACAAAGGTAAAGAGGCTGCAAAATTTGCACAACTTTGGAACCAAATTATCACTAGTTTTAGGGAAGAAGATCTTATCAGTAATAGGTAATCTGCAGGGGACCTTTGAGTTTGTGGTTCTTGATCTTTGCTTCTCTCTCTCTCTTGATACTAGATACAATACTATATATTTTTTACTATAGTGTGCTGAATGTGGTTATACTTTGCAGGGAAATGGACCTTTTGCTTGTGCCTTATTGGGCAGATCCTGAGTTAGACCTTATACAATGGCCACCATTTCTACTTGCTAGCAAGGTTTATTTATTTAGAGTTTTACTTTTGAAAGCTCACTGCCTTAATGTCCATTATCAATTATCTATCTGCTTTTGTAGATTCCAATTGCATTGGATATGGCTAAGGACAGCAATGGAAAGGATCGTGAGCTAAGAAAAAGAATAGAGTTCGACAACTATATGTCTTGTGCTGTTCGTGAGTGTTATGCTTCATTTAAGAGCATTATTAGGTACTTGGTTCAAGGGGACCGTGAGAAGAAGTAAGTCCCTTAAAACAGTATAATGCAGTTGTGTACTTGGTTGTTGATGTTTGTAGCAGTACTTTGAGTGATATTTTTTAGCCTGAGTTGATTCCTCAACTTTGATGCTTTATCTTTACAGCTTCTAGCGGACTACTGAAGTCTTTGTTTATCTAAAACCTAATTTTTGGCACCTTTCTTTTCAGGGTTATAGAATACATTTTATCTGAGGTAGACAAACACATTGAAGCTGGTGATCTAATTAATGAATTCAAATTGAGTGCGCTTCCTAGCCTCTATGGGCAATTTATTGAGCTAATAAAATATTTGGTAACGTTTGAACACACACCTTTATAAATTTACATTTTAGTTTGTGAATATGTACCTGGTCGAAATCTTATCTAGCGTTTTATTTAATGCAGTTAGAGAATAAGCATGAAGACAGAGATCAAGTTGTGATTCTATTCCAGGACATGCTGGAGGTGGTGACAAGAGATATAATGATGGAGGATCATATATTCAGGTGATGATAATGATAGAAACTGATTATCAAACAATAAAATTGAATAGTAATTACAATGAGTTTCCAAGAAATTCGAGAGCTTGGTCTCTCCCTCCCAAATATAACCTTTTTCTAATTTTCATCCTGCCTAGAACATGGTTCTGTTTCCCTTTTTATTCTACCTAAGTTTTGTAACTGCTCCTAATAATAATAATTGTTACTCTAATAATTCTAATGGCTGCTCTTAGGCTCTCTAACTGCTACAGATAACATTTAATAAGGCTGCTCATATGCTTGTAACTGACAGAATTGATAGAATAGAACAGCCACATTCTGTTTTGATTCCTAGTAATTCCTAAAGTCTAACAGATAATTCCAGAATCTCACATCTTTAAATTATATACTCTTCCTTCTGTGATTATGATTATATTATTTCGCATGTGTAGCTTGGTAGATTTAATCCATGGTGGATCTGGACATGAGGGGATGCTTCTTCTTGAGCAGCAACACCAGTTGTTTGCATCTGAAGGGGCTATCAGGTTTCCAATTGAACCGATTACAGAAGCTTGGAAAGAAAAGGTTTACTGCTATAATCAGTTCTTATGATAAATTGAACCACGGAGTGTACATCTAATGACCTTTTGCCGTATATTTAATATTTTCAGATTAAACGGCTGTACTTGTTGCTTACAACTAAAGAATCAGCAATGGATGTACCATCTAACTTAGAAGCCAAAAGGCGTATTTCATTTTTCTCAAATTCACTGTTTATGGATATGCCTACAGCACCCAAAGTTCGCAACATGCTTTCATTCTCGTAAGCATTCTTTTAGTTCTATATATTTTGATATACTTTTATTGAAACATTTGAACCGGTTGAGTGAATATAGAAAAAAACATTTGATTTCCTTTATCTGAATCAGTAGCTTTCAATGCAATAATGTTGGTAAAACATTCTAACTACATAATAGATTGTTTGTTTCTCCAAATATATGTATTGCTTATACTGTGAGTTTTAAGGGAAGCATAAATCTATAGAGTACCCTTGACAGGTTTTATCCGGTATTTACAGGTTTATTATAGTCATAATACTCTATTATTTATTGTAGTTTCTTTAGTCTACCAATTACTGTTTCCCCTTATTTTGAGAGATTGACTATGTATAGCTTTGCAACATAGGCAAGATTGCGAAAGATTTAGAGGACATTGGTTTGCCGTGAGGTAGCTATAATAACTTGAGGTAGAATAAGACCAATAAACTATTTAGGGGAAACTATTAAAAATGGCGTCAATGGTTTTCCTATAGAAATGACTTATGATAGAGCATTATGGCGTTGTTTGATCCATGTATCCCCCATAGTATTAGTGCTTGCACTTTTAAATAATCAAACAATATTTAGTTTCTCTAATGTTCTCTTTCAACTTGAACTTTGCAGGGTTTTGACTCCATACTACACTGAAGAGGTTCTCTTTTCCTTGCGTGAGTTGGAATCGCCTAATGAAGATGGTGTTTCAATTCTTTTCTACTTGCAAAAAATCTTTCCAGGTGTTCACCCTTACTAACATCAATCACTGTTGTATAGATGTTAAAGTTCAAGGGGTGGGTATTAATGTTCTTTTTTTTGTTGTAATTTGCGCATCAGATGAATGGAACAACTTTCTTCAGCGAGTGAATTGTTCCAATGAAGAGGAACTTAAAGAATACGATGAGTTAGAAGAAGAGCTTCGTCGCTGGGCATCATACCGAGGCCAAACGTTGACCAGAACTGGTTTTTTCCTTCTCTATGTTTAAATGAAACTTGTGGGGTGTTCCTATATAATTATGTCCTATGTTCAGTGTAAGCTGCCTATTGTTTATCATTACAATTGATTGAAGAATTTTTATTGATGCAGTTAGAGGCATGATGTACTACAGAAAAGCCTTGGAGCTTCAGGCTTTTCTTGATATGGCCAAAGACGAAGGTGACTGTTTGTTTGGAATGAGATCAAAGTTTTTCTCATTAGTTGCTTTTAATTTGGTTTTAAAGTTAATAGTAGATGAATTTTTTGCATGAAACTAACCTCTTAATTTTTCTTCTTCTTCTAAACCCAATATTACGAATGTACAGATTTGATGGAAGGTTACAAGGCCATAGAAAATTCAGATGATAATTCCAAGGGGGAAAGGTCACTATGGACACAATGTCAAGCTGTAGCTGATATGAAATTCTCATATGTTGTATCATGCCAACAGTATGGGATTGACAAGCGATCTGGTGCTGCTCGTGCGCAGGACATATTGAGGCTTATGGCAAGGTAAGTGTCTAGTGTTAATTGTACTGCTGGCCTTCATGCTTGTTTATACCAATTTGTGATTTCATATGTTTTCATTTGGTAGATATCCTTCACTTCGAGTTGCCTATATTGATGAGGTAGAGGAACCTAGCAAAGAGAGACCAAAAAAGATCAGCAAGGTTTATTACTCCTGCTTGGTGAAGGCTATGCCAAAATCCAGTAGTCCTTCTGAGACGGAGCCTGAGCAATGTCTGGACCAGGTAAGTGCATTTTGATAACTAAAGGGTGCAAATAGTTCTCCTGGTATTAATAATTCGTTTTTGATGAAAAATGAAGTTTTTTTATTACACATAAAAGAGGAAAAATACAACCACAGGAGGATACCTAATCTTTTGAAACGTGGAAAGTTTATATACATTTTGAAATAAGAAAACGAAATACAGCTAAGTTTCCAATCTCTGCATATTATAAGATAATACTTCCCTCTGATTGATTTCTCATTTTTTAGTTTCTAGCTAGTTATATTATTTGCATAGGACTAAATACAATTCAGGAGTTCGCAAAGTTGCATAAGCCAACATCCCTTTTCCTTCCATAATACTTATTTCATTATTCATCTATCAGTATCTTGATTCATACTCTGCATTTGATTGTTTTAACCAGGTCATATATAAAATAAAGCTTCCTGGGCCTGCTATTTTGGGTGAGGGCAAACCTGAAAATCAGAATCATGCCATAATGTTCACACGCGGAGAAGGCTTGCAAACAATAGATATGAACCAGGTATACTTTTATGAGAAGCACAAATTATTATATGGTCTGATATCAATCCATGTGATCGACATTCCTCTTTTATAGGATAATTACATGGAAGAAGCTTTGAAAATGAGAAATTTGTTGCAAGAGTTCCTTAAGAAGCATGATGGAGTGAGGTACCCGAGTATTCTTGGACTTCGGGAGCATATATTTACTGGAAGGTAAAAGCAGATTTTCCTCATACTGAATTTTCTTTACAGCTTAAAAGATCTATTGCAACTGTAACAAGTTATGAGTCCCTGATTACTATTTTGAACTGTTTTTCAGTGTTTCTTCTCTTGCGTGGTTCATGTCAAATCAGGAAACCAGTTTTGTGACAATTGGTCAGAGATTGTTAGCTAATCCACTGAGGTACGTTCTCATTCCAGTTCTTATTTATATGTTATTTTGGCTGTTAAAAATCATCTATGACTTCAAAAGAGGAACTAAAGATAATAAGGGTCTATCCAAGAGAGAAAAAAATACATGGCTGTTCATGGTGGCTGAAGTTACGATGTTAAAAAAAAGGGGTTTATTGTGACAAATTCTTAAGTCTTGATGATGGGTGGTGAACACCGAACAAAGATCTTGATTATCCTCTCTGAATAAATTTTATAAACTTGAGCAGCTTAAAAACGTATTACTCTTTAGCCTCTCAGTCAGATTGAATGGTGGATGTTGATAGCTTCTACTGTTTTGAAATATATTTTGTAGAGGCCTGGTTGCTTCTATTCTCCAATCCTACTTATTATAAAGAAAACTATAGTTTATATTCCCGCTGAAGCTATATACCGACACATGACAATCTGAGTTTAATTCAAGTTTAATTAAAGAAAACCAAGTACTAACCGATCATTGAGTTTAATCAATCTTTGATGACAAAATGAGCATTATATGAGAAAAGTTTGGTATATTCCTTGTTAGATATATTATTTTAGATCTCCATTTCAATTTCATTATGCATTTGAAACTATATAATTTGCTTTCATTTTATATATAGGGTTCGCTTCCACTATGGCCATCCTGATGTCTTTGATAGGATTTTTCACCTCACTAGAGGGGGTGTAAGTAAAGCCTCCAAGGTTATCAATTTGAGTGAAGATATATTTGCTGGTAAAGTGATGTCTATCTCCATTTTTTTTTGTAATCCTATTTTCATTTTCTTTTTTTGTACAGTCTTAATTTGAATTTCATTATGTTATTTGCAGGCTTTAACTCTACCCTTCGTGAAGGAAATGTTACTCATCATGAATACATACAAGTTGGGAAAGGAAGAGATGTGGGTCTCAACCAGATTTCTATGTTTGAAGCAAAGATAGCTAATGGCAATGGAGAACAAACACTGAGTCGAGATATATACCGACTTGGTCACCGATTTGACTTCTTCAGAATGTTGTCTTGTTATTTCACCACAATTGGGTTTTACTTCAGTACTCTTGTATGTCACCACCAGATTTAACTCTTACTTAGTTCTTTTTTCACAAGCTCTTCTGAACCTTTTCTTTTCATGTTTAAACTTTGAGCAGATTACTGTTCTCACCGTGTACGTATTTCTCTATGGCCGCCTTTATCTTGTTCTTAGCGGGCTTGAAGAAGGTTTGAGTACACAAAAAATCATTCGAGATAATAAGCCTCTTCAAGTGGCTCTTGCATCCCAGTCCTTTGTTCAAATTGGGTTTTTGATGGCTTTGCCCATGTTGATGGAAATTGGCTTGGAAAGGGGATTCCGAACAGCGCTTAGCGAATTCATATTAATGCAGCTGCAGCTAGCTCCAGTTTTCTTCACATTTTCGCTTGGGACAAAAACTCACTATTATGGAAGGACGTTGCTTCATGGAGGTGCAAAATATAGAGCTACTGGTCGAGGTTTTGTGGTTTTCCATGCTAAATTTGCTGACAACTATAGACTTTACTCCCGTAGCCACTTTGTTAAAGGTATTGAGCTAATGATTTTGCTCGTAGTATACCAAATTTTTGGCAATGCTTATAGAAGTGGGGTTGCATATCTGTTGATTACCATACCAACATGGTTTATGGTGGGCACCTGGCTTTATGCCCCCTTCTTGTTCAATCCTTCTGGTTTTGAGTGGCAAAAGATTGTTGATGATTGGACTGATTGGAATAAATGGATTAGCATCCGAGGTGGTATTGGTGTACCGCCTGAAAAGAGTTGGGAATCCTGGTGGGAGGAGGAACAAGAGCATCTAAAATATTCAGGAATGCGCGGAATCATAGCTGAGATATTTTTATCTTTGCGGTTTTTCATCTATCAGTATGGTCTTGTTTATCACTTGAACTTTGTTAAGTCTACCAAAAGTGTCCTGGTAAGTCTTTACTTGTGTTGTTTCCTTTCTCAACTATCTCACTTTCATAATTTGGCATATTAAATGGAAATCATTTTCTCGCCTGCAGGTTTATGGCATATCATGGTTGGTGATCTTTCTTATATTAGTTGTGTTGAAGGTTAGAAGCAAGCTAGTTTTTATATTGTTGGGCATGTTAAAAACTTAAAATTGTCCATGCAATATGATTTCTCAAGTTGTCTTTCGGCTAATGAAGGGATTGATATTCTTTCTGATTTTCTTTTTGTATTTTTTCAGACGGTGTCTGTTGGGAGAAGGAAATTTAGTGCAGATTTTCAACTTGTCTTTCGGCTGATGAAGGGATTGATATTCGTGACATTTGTCTCAATTCTAGTAACCATGATTGCTCTTGCTCACATGACGTTGCAGGACATTGTTGTTTGCATTCTTGCCTTCATGCCAACTGGTTGGGGAATGCTACAGGTGAATGAATATTCTTTCCTTTTGCAAAATTATCTATTAGTTTTTGCTTAGTATGCTAAATCATTATCCATGGAATGACGTCTGAATATAAAGTCGTTAAAATCATACACATCATATTAATATTCTTTCTTTTTGTCCTGAGATCTTGAGGCAGTTTATCAACTGCTGCAATATCCTTATTTCTCTTGAACAATTTGCATGTTTTTGTCTGGTTTTTTATAGTCATCATTTTTTATTTCATTATCATGCAGATTGCACAAGCATTAAAGCCTCTGATAGGCCGAGCGGGGATTTGGGAATCAGTAAAAACTCTAGCACGTGCTTACGAGGTTGTCATGGGTTTGCTTTTGTTCACTCCTGTTGCCTTCCTTGCTTGGTTTCCTTTTGTGTCAGAATTTCAGACACGTATGCTTTTCAATCAAGCATTCAGCCGAGGTTTGCAAATTTCTCGTATTCTTGGGGGCCAAAAGAAAGGCCGATCCTCTCGCAACAAGGAGTAGTTGTTACTCTGCACCCGGCTTGAACCATGTATGCACTCCACTGCTAGCAAAGTAATAGCTTGTTTGTACAACTTTTTTCTGTACAAATGGTAAGATTAGATGTAGTTGTAGGTTGTTGGTGGTATAGCATGTAGTAGGAATTAGATTAGATGTAGTCTTTAATTTTGTTAGAAAATTTTATTTATTAGGATATAATATTCGGACGAAAGATGATCCATGCAGTAGACTCTACCTATAAGACTTGGTTGTTGCTGTTGTTGTAACATCAATTAAACTTATGAAAGTTATTCAAGGTAAAGTAGATCTCCTTCTTCTCCCTTACCCATTCTGATTTCCCACTTCTCCTCGTTGATTTTCGTGATTTCAACCATTGAGTTTAGATTTTATGCTCTCTTTGTATCGGGAGTGACATTGTTGTTTATTCCACACATTAATTTTAAAAAAGAAAATACTTATTAATAAGAAAGTATGAAATCAAAAAATGTAAGAATTAAATCTCAATCATTTATTCCTACCAACTCATGATTCATATTAAAAAGGAAATTAAATTAAAAATAAATTTTAAATTATTTTCTAAAATAATGACAAGTATATATTTTACTTTTCTTATTCAAATGTTTCTTATTATATAATATTACTCTTTTAAATATGATTACTATTACATTTTGAAAATAATCATGAGTGATATTATTTTGAAAAACTTAAATTTTCTTAATGTATCATTAATTTTGGGAAAGAGGGAGTAATTAAAAATTTATTAATTTTGATAAGTTTTGAAACACTATTTTTAAGAATTTCAACCGTGTTGCTTTAACCGTGTGTTGGAGGTATTTTTAAGGTGGTAGTTTGTCAATTATAAAATTGTCTTTAGTGTGTTGTGTGGTCTTGATAATAGGGAATTTAACTTGTCATCTTTAAAGTTGGACTTAACACTCTATTTTTTGTTATTCTAGAAATGCTCCTGAGTAAATTAGGGGGATGAACAACAATCAAATTTTCGGTAGTTTTGTGAAATTTCTAGTATAATTTTTTTTATGCTTATGAATTTAGGTAATTTTTCAAAAAATTCAGTATTTTTTTTTTTGAAAATTTAGGTAATTTTTTTAGGAAATTTCGAAAAAATCTGATATTTTCTTGGAATTTTTTATAGTGTAAATTTTTTTATAATGACATAAAAGTAATAGCACCATCATTGGGGGGAGAGGGGTGTTAGGTATAACTTTGGGAGTGTCAGTTAAATGCTCTTGATAATACACAATTCGGTAGCCCTCACCTCACTCTTAACCGTATATTGTGTTTGGTAATTTCTCTTCCCACCTGTGTTAAATGGGACGCACCTCTGAAAATCTAAAAATGTCTCTGGGTGATTTCAAAAATGCATCTCCGAACGCACCAAATACTAATTTTGAAAAAAATATAGTTCGAAGATGCATCTCCGAACTAATATCAAAGGTAAATTTGGGTTTGCAACTCCGAAGTCCCCTTTCGACCTTAGCAAATCAAACATCCCCCATTTCTCAAGAAAGTTGATTTGGAGATGCATAAGCGAACCATGTGTGCACATAATTCGGAGATCCATATTCGAATTATTGTCTGAGTGATTTTTGACAGAATCTGTTTTCTAAGTTTATGGTGTTTGAAACTCATTTATATTCGATTAAATTCACCGTTATTTATTTCAAAGAATAATAAAAACGAATGTTATAGAACCATGTAAAACTTTAATAAAATCGAATATCATAGAAACTGAATATAAAAGTACAACAATTGTTCAGCAAAGTCGATTAAAATTAAACAAAATACAAGCAAATGCATAATCTAATGTGTATGCCTAATCCTAACATCCTGGATCCTCCTCTGCCTACGGTAACCCAAGGCATCACATGCCTCGTAAAGAGTGACACGTTCTAGTTGTACCGCTTCCTCGCCACCTTTCTCGAACAGTCTAGAAACGATGCCCTCGTTTGTAATCTACATGGTGGTCTGACAGATCGACAAGACCTCAACATCATGATCATCTTGTGCCTGCTTATTCTCCAAGATCTCCTCATGGACAGACCTAGGTGGACGTCTTGGAGTGTCATGTGTCTTGTAAGGGTGTGACACATTATAGAACTGTGTCATGTAACCCTCCACATAAGACCATTCAAATGTGACTGTCTTACTCTGATACTCCTGGTACCAGACGATTCTCAAAATCCTCCAGAATATCATCCAACCGTTTGTGGAAAATAATGATGGGAGCAGTCTGCAAGGGGGACCTCAAAATAATTTGGACGTATCCAAATTGCTGCATACACCGCTAAGGCAGATACCTGTACATGATGTTGGTCCCATATGCCAATCATCCAGAGTATAAGGAAATGGGGTCAGGTATAATTGTGGGGGTGTCAGTTAAATGCTCTTGATAATACACAATTCGGTAGCCCTCACCTCACTTTTAACCTTACATTGTGTTTGGTAATTTCTCTTCCCACCTGTGTTAAATGGGACGCACCTCTGAAAATCTAAAAATGTCTCTGGGTGATTTCGAAAATGCATCTCCAAACGCACCAAATACCAATTTTGAAAAAAATATAGTTCGGAGATGCATCTCCGAACTAATATCAAAGGTAAATTTGGGTTTGCAACTCCGAAGTCCCCTTTCGACCTTAGAAAATCAAACATCACCCATTTCTCAAGAAAATTGATTCGGAGATGCATAAGCGAACCATGTGTGCACATAATTCGGAGATCCATATTCGAATTATTGTCTGAGTGATTTTTGACATAATCTGTTTTCTAAGTTTATGGTATTTGAAACTCATTTCTATTCGATTAAATTCACCGTTATTTATTTCAAAGAATAATAAAAACGAATATTATAGAACCATGTAAAACTTTAATAAAATCGAATATCGTAGAAACTGAATATAAAAGTACAACAATTGTTCAACAAAGTCTATTAAAATTAAACAAAATACAAGCAAATGCATACTCTACCGTGTATGCCTAATCCTAACATCCTGGATCCTCCTCTGCCTACGGTAATCCAAGGCATCACATGCCTCGTAAAGAGTGTCATGTTCTAGTTGTACCACTTCCTCGCCACCTTTCTCGACCAGTCTAGAAACGATGCCCTCATTTGTAATCTGCATGGTGGTCTGACAGATTGACAAGACGTCAACATCATGATCATCATGTGCCTACTTATTCTCCAAGATCTCCTCATGGACAGACCTAGGTGGACGTCTTGGAGTGTCGTGTGTCTTGTAAGGGTGTGACACATTATATAACCGTCTCATGTAACCCTCCATATAAGACCATTCAGATGTGACTGCCTTACTCTGATACTCCTCTGGTATAAGACGACTCTCAAAATCCGCCAGAATGTCATCCAACTGTCTGTGGACAATAATGATGGGAGAAATCTGCAAGGGGGACCTCGGAATAATTTGGATGTACCCAAATTTCCGCATACACCGCTAAGGCATATACCTACACAAAATGCTTGGATCTCAAGTTATTAATTCATAAAGTCATTGGTCTTGAAATTGAATTCTTAGTGAAATTTTGCCCTAGTTTTGGTCAGGATTTTGACCTAACTTCATGGCACTTTTTCATATAGTTCCAAAGGGAATTTTTAAAAGTGATTCAAAGAGGGGTTGTAAAGCATATTACAAGCTTTCCAAAATGTCCAAGAACTCCTTGAGATCATTCTTGAGCAGGGAGAATCGAAGAGATGAAGTTAGGGTTTTCAAACTTGAATTACAAGTCATTTTGTGATGAACAAGAATTCAATTTCAAACCTATTGTTGTACCCCAAAATTTACCCTCTAATTTGTCAAGTATTTGCTCACAAGATATTCTACGACGTCAAGTTTGCAGCATTGGTACATCAATTTAGACTTGAAATTGGCACAAGGACAAATGGACTTTTAAATGCACCATTTGACTTTCATGGATCATTTTGGACTCTCAAGATTGCTCATGTCAAGTTTCAGGTCTTGGATCGCATTTTTGCTCAGTCAGTTGATCAGATGACCTAAAATCAGCCGTATTGGTGAAAAAGTCAACTGTAGCACCAAAAGTCAAACTTTGACTTTTTGGTCAACATTAAGTTTCAAATATCATAATTCATCAAGACATTCAAAAATATCAAGTTTGATTATCAAGAAGTTAAGAAAGTCAAAAGTCAACTTGAAAAGTCAAGATTTCCAAGACTTAGAAATTTTTTAAGTGTTTTTATACATGATAATTTCATCACTTCATGTTATTCTTTCACCAAGATGTAAGATGATTCAAAAGAAGCTTTCAACATGAAAGTTGTAGATCTCCATGATATCTACAACATTGCTTTACACAACTTCTTCTAAATATGCTTGGATCTCAAGTTATAAATTCATGAAGTCATGACATTTTCATTTAACACTTAGAGAAATTTTCAGCAGTTTTGGTCAGGTTTTTATCCCAACTTCTTGGCCAATTTTCATCAAGTTTCAACTTGATTTAACAAAAGTGGTCAACATGAGAGTTATAGAGGGTGTTTCAAGCTTTCCAAAACATCCAAGAGAATGAATTTTTCATACTTGAGCTAGGAGATTCAAGGTCATGAAGTTGGGTATCCACCCTTCATTTGCAAGTCATTCTATTTAAGAACACACAACAAAACCCTTATGCTATGCTGCATAATCTTATGTTGCAGGCCTTCTTGCTTGCAAATCTCTACATAATTTAATGTTTACACCCACTTTTGAGCTATTACCCAAGTGTTTAAGCCATTGTCCAAAGGATCTTTCCATTTATGGCATAAAGGCACCATTGCTATTCTTGAAAAGCAAGCTTTTTGTACAAAACTTGTCTTGAGCCCATACTTTGTTTGTTTCTGATTTTACTCTACCATAAAGCATGGAAATCAACCCCTCTAAACCAGCAACTTTGGTACTTCATCTTGGAACCATAGAGTACTTGACATAGTTTGATACTTACATCCCAACCAAACCATAACATGTTGTCTTGTA